CCACAGAGATGTCTTTCCTCACTGAGTTTCCTTTTTATTTTCTAGAAGAGGCTATAACCACGAATGAGGTTATAAACCAATTATTGCACCACGTTGGTGCGATGTGCATACACCAACTCAGTCTTCTTGCTACCAACCCAAATCTTCCAATCACAAGTGTCCTGGGCAAACAACATCCGATCGAAGCTCACCATCTCAGCAGTATTTGTGACATTATGGAGAAGGCCATGGTTAATGGAGACACCTGTATCATACGCTGCATTCTTGTTGTCTTTCAGGTAAACACACTGTTTTGAGATAAATAAGATATTAGAGAAATAAAGAAACACGTACCTTGGCTTCAGCCAGCTAATTTCTACCAGAAGAAAATTTAGTAACATTCCTGTTTTGCATCTTACCACATTCTAGTCCTATAACTAGGATTATCATCATATTCATTGCACAGCAGTTAATGGAGTATTGCTATATGTAGTTCATTGTCACTGATCTATGTATATACAATATTTACTGTAATTATACCATTACACAATAGAAGAGATTGTGGTTAAAAATCTATTCATAAGAATATCTACATGTATTTTCTCCAGAGGGATAATTTTATCCCCAGTAGAATGAACACTTTTAGATATGCCCTTTATGTTTCTGTAGGTGGTATTTAAATTTTTCTTCAGCCCACAAACTGAAAGGAATCGAGACATTATTCGACGGTCAGGATTGCTTCTTTGGCAGCTGTTGATGGCACCAAAAGATCAAATTTGCCTTGAAATTCAGAAGGAAGTCTGCCTTGCCATCAGGTAATCAGCAAGTAATTTCCATAGCACTCTCTTCAAAATGCTTCCCTTGCATTGCATCATGATCTTCCCGGCCAGCTGGTAGCATAGACATCTCTTCCCCCATCCCATCCATCCATCAGAACCTCGTGAACAGAGGATAATTCAACTGGACAGAGGCTATGGCCCCACTCCCAGAGGACCCACGCCATCTGTGTACCTAACGTCATCATTGGATCTTAAAAAAAAAA